AGGGGAGGCTCAAAATCTTTTTTGCTCACCATATGTAAACTAAAGATGAGATCTATGATATTTTCTAAAATATTTGAGCCTCCCCAAGCCTTCCTCTTCCTTTTCAAGGGGAGGCTTAGGCCTCCCCTAGCCTAACGGGTCCGGCGCCACTGCCTGTGGGACACACAGTTCAAAGTACTGAAAGACAACGAAGTCGAAAAGCCGTAGAAATTGATGAAAAGTCGAATTTTTCTCCGCTAGTAAGGGGCGGATGGAGGCGTTGGATATAGGAGCTTGTAGCCCAAGGCGAGATCTGAAAAGTGTATAGAGAGAATATGTCGTTTTGGTTTCTCTAGGTGGCAGTAAGTTCGGCATCGATCCCAATGGCTATCATGACGCGCGACCAGTATATTGACCCTAGATCCTGTACTTAACTTGAGGATGAGCTTGCGAAAACTTGCGAGACTACTTGGGCAGGCACATGCATTACGGGTCAGATCCCATTCGAAATTCGATTCGAATTTCCTTCTGTTTGCTCGCTTATAAGTTAGAGCAACGACACGGTCTAATTTACGCACTTGATCTGTACCTGATTTTCTTCGCAAACTGAAAACGTCTAATTTTCGCAATATAATCAGGTCATTTGAGGATTGAAAGTAGTGCATACGCTTGAACTGTACTACATCTGATTTCAATCCTTCATCTGTTTTAGTGTTAGATATAATTCACTTGACTATATTGTTTCAGCAAGTTAATACATTCGTTAGAACCTTCACAAAGTGTTGGAGTATCGGATGACGCTATCAATCGGTACTTCAATAAAATTTCTCATTTATTCTGAACAGCCTAGCTGAGTGAAGACAGCAATAGCGCAGCTTGTGAGAGATATCGCTAGTTTCTTGATACTAAAGTTTAATTTAAATTTTAAAATGTGAACTAAGTGGAAAGTTTTTGAAAAGAAACTAAAACAGTTAATCCATAAAGAAAATGACGGATTTACTGGTAAAGGAAGAATTATTTTCTTTCTCAGTACACAAAGAAACAAAGACTAACTGATCGAATGGTTTCATTCACACATGAAACGTCTATATAAAGACAATTCTCTTCATTTTTTGCCAAGAGAGTGTTTATTCCACCACCCTCACCCTCATTAATTCGTATAGCTTTATGCTATAAAGGTGTTTTTATATTTACGGTTTTCACCTACAAAACAACAGTAATCACTCTTTTCATTTGTCTTTTGCAAATTTGTCTATGTTCGTTCTTGAGTTTGTGTAATGAGCACAACATAAAAAGACGGACTTAGTTTTCAAAACTAAGTATGCTATGAACACTGAGAAATTTAAAGTGTGTTTATCTATTTGCGAAATCTCCTTAAGTTAATTTATTAACTTTTGTGTTGGTGCGAATAGTAATACACAACTTTTCAAAAGCCAAATATTAAAATTAATGTGTCTAATTTATTTATCAATCGGTGCATACCTATATGTATACTACCGTAAATTGGACACAAACAAAATCTAGTTTTAAAATATTTATTCTTTTTATTTGAAATCAGAAACTTTTCTTCGATATTATTATCACTATTTTTTCTTTTTAATTAACAGCTTAGAAAGTGCTTATGAATTTTGTGCAAATATCTCTAGTTCTTTCAAGTATCTGGGTGCATGTGAAATCTAGAAATACTTGAACAAATGCTTAACTAAGCACTCAAATACATTTACTAGAGTTGTGTTTCTGCTTCATTCGTAAAATAAACACAACAAAGTAATCATAATCGAGTTTATATACATATAACAGACATAAAGTAGATCTCACGTGTGTATCGGAATAAGAACGATTTTTATAGCCTTGGCAAAAGTTAGGTTTGCCGATTATTTCAAATCTAAGTAAACAATGGTAAAATAATCATAAATTTCATAGATTAAATGATATTTCTAACCTAACAATCAATACAAATTGACGTGACGATGTTAAATAAGAGACCATTATAAACGGCTATTAATAAATAAACTGAAAAATTAAAGCCATAAAAAAAAAATGATAAGGTCATTATTGAATAAAAGTATACAATTTTTTTCTATACTAAGTACTAATCTATACGAAGTTAAAAAACAAACAAACTTACATGATAAAAACAAAATTTATTATTTTTGGCATATTGGCGAATTTTTATTTTTATAACTCTAACATTCAGAAGACATTACACTAGTACTTCAATTTTTGAGCTCTGGTTTTTGAAAACAAGATTGCAAATTATTTAAGAATTCAAAATTTATAATGTTATTACTCTCCTTTTCTTTTTCAAAACGAAAATTGATAAATTCTTTTAACACTACATTTCGTTGACAATGTGTACATTTTTTTGTTCTAGTTCTTGAATAAGTGCCTTCAGCTGGTTTTCTAATTTCAAGTAGTGGTTTCATTGAAATGTCTGTAGAAACAAACTTTAATACTTCTTCTTTAAGTTTTTCTTGATCAACACTTTCTTCTATGGGACACGCTATCAGTTGACATAATTCTTTGACATGAGATAAAACAGTAATAAAATCTTTTTTTTCACGTGCACCATTTATCATCTTGATTACCGTATCAACCTCATCATCAGCTAAACCATCTCTAGATGCATTCATTTGCTCCATATTATAACCACCAGGCCATTTACAATTAAGTTTGTCAATATAATAATGTTTTATATTATTTATATTTTCACCGGCATATACAAATCTTAAAATACGTAAATCCCATTGTTTTTGACTATGACAACGAATAGCATGATTAAATTCTCTATTATCAGACTCGTGTGTTTGTTCTAATGCTTCTTGAAAATGTTGTTTTGTTTGATCTAATAATGTTTGATTCGTTTGACCAATATAATGCTTACCGGTAATTAAACTTGTCCAAATGTAAAGTAAATTTGGACAATTTTCTGCATCAATATCAATTACCGGTTCATAAAATATAGTTGGAATTAAATTAGTGACTACCATAGATGATCCGTTCGTACATCCAATCCGTTTTGCTATTTGTAATCGATAATCTTCACCTAATTTTTTAAAATAAATTCCTGGATCTGTATCATGTGTTAACATTAATCGTTTCAATGAACAAGCATAAATATGCGCAATTTTAAAGAAAACATAATTAATATCATTATCATTCAAGTCAACAGTATCTGACGAAGTAGTTGATAAATTAGTAAGAAAATCACTAATAACCTTGTCATTATTATTGCTTAATAATGAATAAAGCTGTTCTCCGTCATCGGTAGGTACTGACATTTGAGAGTTTGTTGTCGTTGTTAGTGTAGTAATAGCTAATTCTGATTGATTATTGATACTTAATTGATTAAACAACGGATCTACCGATGACATCATTTAAATACTTTTATTCTAAATCAGTAAGAGGAATAGAACAAAAAAAAAAAATTTATTGCCGAAATAGTTGTCTGAAAGAGAATAATTTTGCTGTTATAGATGTAACTCTTAGATAGTTTTGTTAAAATAGAAGAAAGAAATGACTTTTTTTCATTCTTTTTTTTCTCCTACTTCTTTCTTTAGCGTCCTTGAAACTTTTTTTTTAATCATGATGCTTAATAAACATCATTGAAGGAGGAAAAAAATAAATTCATTACCAGCTACCCGATTTTCACTCATATTATATTGAGAATTTTTTCTCTCGGCAGTCGAGCCTTGAGGCACAGGTTAATATTCATTTTCTCAGAAGTAGAAAAATTACCGAACACGGCGTAAAAAGTCATAGAAATTTCATCGTTTTTTCTTCTACGTTTTTTCCACTGTTTTTTCGTGCACGTTTTCAAGTTTCCGTTTATTTTAATATTTCATAATTTTAGTAAGAAAAAAGAAGAAACATGAGTTTCTACAGAAATCAGATCTGTATCACTAGAACTGGTGAATACATGTTTTAAATATTAAGTCAAAAAACTTACATCAGAAATCTGTTAGTTTTTTAATTTAATCATTATCACATGTCACAAAATAATAATAGATTTTTTTGAAGTGAGCCTAAATCATGTCGTAAATTTAAGGAAGTCTTCAAGCATTCTCAAAATCGGTTAGTTTGTTAAGAACATTTTCAAGAGTCTAGATGTGAAATAACAAGGTTGGATATGTTTTGTTAGGGTAATGAAATTTTCAAAAATTGAACAAATCGATTTTCCTAGTTATTATGAGGCGAACGAACCGAAAAGTAATTTGCACGATGCACGCCGCGCGAACAAAGTGTTTTGGAAAGTTTGTGTCATGGAAAAGTTGTTTAGAATAATGAGCTTTAGCTAGTAAGAAATTTTCTCAAATAATCGAAAAAGCTTTTTCTGAAGTAGAATTTTTGAAGAATTACTGAAAAACTTCTAACAGAAATATCATGGTCTTTTCCAACGATAGATAACCAGAGTCGTCTCTTCAAAATGAACGTCAAGCAAGATTTTCATTGTCTGTAGTTTAGATGTGCCATCAGATTTACCGGGAGTCCTGGGACTAGTATCTATTGACTTTTGGAAATTTCAAAAACGTCAGAACATAGGTAATCGAAAATGACGAGTCCCGTGGCAATGTTTGTTTTTCAAAAAGTTTCGAAAAACCCTCTTCCGTTCACTGTTTTGTTTCATCCATACAGTTATAATTTTCAATTTGAAATTCAACTCTCAACTACAGTTAAAACTTTAATTCCACTAGTTATAAACACGTATACCAAGTACTTTTAAACTGTTCAGTAGATACTTACAGTACAAAAGACTTAGTTACATATTTTTTAATAAAAGTTCCTTCATTTACATATCATCTAAATTTCATATACGTTTTATTGCCTATTATATGTTGAATGCGTCTTTGAAATTCATCATTCTCCTGAGAAAATAAGAATTTGACGATTTGATAATTCGATTCTGTCGCCTGTTTTTCTTGTTCACTTTGACGACTTAATAAATATTTAATATTTATCTAATCAAGTAAACATAATGATATCAAATATTCTTAAAGACGTAATTTAACTACTACACCTTGTTGATGATCTGATTTTAGAAGTTCAATGTTTTCTGGATGAAAAAAATTTTGATTGAATAATAAAATACAACTTGATCATCCGTAACATTTATTACACTTTTTATCATTTGTTCTAAAATTAATTTTGATCTAAAGAAAGAACAAATTGCAATAATATACAACTTTTTCAATTAATCGTTTTATCCAAACCTTTGTCTTCTAGAGTAGCCTGGTGTAATTATGATCAGGATAAAAGAAATTCTTAGTATTCTTGAAGCAATGCAGCTATTTTTCACCAAAAAAAAGAGATATTTCAGCTGAGTCTTATCTATCGATCGATATAAAAATTATCTTAAAATTCATCAGCGTTAATTAGTACTAATCAATTTTCAGCGAGCAGGTATCGATTGATCATAATTACGCCATTTGGGGTAATTATGATCAGTCAGCGTATACCGATGGGATAATTATGATCAGCGCAGTCAAAATGGCTGGAATGAACTTAAAGAACTTTGTTTCAACGGAGAATTTTAAGCAAACAAATTAAAAATTAGTTCATTTTGTAGAGAATTCTTTGCTCTATTTCTCATGTGAATTGCACACCATTCGGACTTGACCGGAATTAATTAATGAGAAATTACGAAAATTAAAAGAGATAGTCATTTTTTCTATATATATGCTTTGGGGTAATTATGATCACTCAACGTATACCGATGGGGTAATTATGATCAATCCGTGCAAATTACACGGAATAAACAGAATTTGACGTGCGCCGGTCTCTAGAAACCGGCCTCTGGTCTAGTTCAAGTGAAGAATGTCTTGATAATATTATAATTAATTACATATGTAAAAAGCGGAATAAAAATGCGTGTTTTTAGCGAGTACTATGCATAGAATGAACATCATTGATTATAAATGCATTTCTGTTCATTAAGATTAGCAGAATAATTAAGTTAGAGCTTTAATTAGCAGTCGGGTAACGAACAAGTTGAACTTTTCATGTACATTATTAAATTCTCGTTTAATAGACCAAAAAATTGTTTAAAAATACATAATGTCAAACGTCCCGCTTGGAAATAAGCACTGGTATCCTCTGTACACGTATATGCGACCAGTATTTTTATCATTTTGATACGTATATATAAATTAAATAGTATTTTATTTGAATCCTTATTAAAACAAGCATGTTTTTTTGAGAAATTATTTTTCAAGCTTTTCAGAAAAAATTGTGTTTTCGACGCCATTTTTTGTGTCGTTGGGTATGTTATGTGTTGCATTCCAAGTGGGACGTTTGACATTATGTGTTTTTAAACAATTTTTTGGTCTATTAAACGAGAATTTAATAATATACATGAAAAGTTCAACTTGTACGTTATCCGACTGCTAATTAAGGCTCTAACTTAATTATTCTGCTAATCTTAATGAACAGAAATGCATTTATAATCAATGATGTTCATTCTATGCACAGTATTCGCTAAAAACACGCGTTTTTATTCCGCTTCTAGAGACCGGTGCACGTCAAATTCTTCTTCTGTCAGGTCAGGAAATGTGCAAAGTTTCTCGTTATTTGTGAATAAAATTACAATTTAAAAAATAAAGTTGTGTTTTGTGAGGGTAACAGAGTATTTGAACCTGGTCAGTATTGTATACTTGTGCAGGATATGCTGTAGTAGGATGAGCTATTCTTTCATTATGTCTAACAGGTTTTATAAGAAAACAAAAAAAGTTTCGGTTCGGTAGAGAGAAATGGTGAGGGAGGGTTAAACTAACACACGTTATCTATATGTATTTAGTGATAAATATTCATACAGTTTGTTGTACAGACACAAAATTTTCTGCATTTATAAAAGATGAATAATTGTACGACTTTTAGTCTTGAAACACAAAAATTGTTGAATTTTAAAGGTATTGAAAAAGACCTTCAGAAAAGAAAACAATGTAAAACTTGCTTTTAGATATTATATGCTATATACTGACTTCAGCCATAAATTTTGTTGTCCTTTATCAAGAAATAACTTTAACAATTGCTCGTGTTGAAACAACTGTTTGATAATATGAAAACAATTTTCGCTTGGACATTTTGATAATTTATCCAATACTTTTAAACATAAAAGCTTAATAAGATTCCATACATGTTAGTTTTCCAAAGCAGTATAAAGTAGTACTTTATAGTGCTTTGGGAAACTAACATGTGGCTAAATATCTACTATACGGCCTGTCCACGTAACGCGACACTTCGCTGATCAAGTTTTTGAAAAAAGTATTTTAGAGTAGAACTGAGAAGAGCACATCACTAGATGCAGTTTTTGATGTTAATTATGAATCTCACATTATTTTTTTAAAAAGTACAATTTTGGCGGCAGAAATCCAGTTTTACGTGTTTTGAACACTGTATTTTCAATTTCCTCACCTAGACACTTTTCCTGAAAAAATGGAAGGGCGCACTAGTCGATAGAGAATTCGATTCTCAACACGACCGTATGTTTCTTTTGAAGTTTAGACTCAAAACAAGCTTCGTAATAAAGTTTTAAGTTTTGTGATTCTCAGACAATTCTAAGAGGGTGAAAAATTTTTTCGACTTTACTTTCACGTTAGTCTATAGCAGATGCCTAGAACTACGTCTGCTGTGAAAATCAAATCCTTTGAGCAACGTTTAGTGCTCTAAAATTTGTTGGGAAAAAAGTGTGTCACAGCGTCACGAATTTTCGTCACGAAAGTAGAGTATGGTGAGCTGCATCGAATGGCGCAAGAACAAAGTTTCTAGCTCTTACAGTTTTGGGGGAAAAGCTCAAATTACTATGTCAAAAATGTCACGCTTGGACAAGCCGTATAATCAATAAATTTAAAAAATAAATAAGTCGAATTTTGAACATAGTAGTCGATCAACATCAGGATTGTTTATGTTTTTTGATAATAGTTGAAACAATAAAATCCCAAGGAATATTTTGATGAATTGGTTCAGATTGAAGAGGTGTTATGGTCGATAATCGAAGATAAAGACGTTCTAATAGCTGATTTTCATTTAGTATTATAGATAAATTTTCGAATAAATGTATTAAATTACTATTATGCATATCTAGAATAGCAGATAAAGAAAGCATAGAGTACTAGACTGCGGAAAGCATGGAACTAGATTGTGATAATAGTGAACTGGCATGTGATGATAGTCATATGATTATAGTCACATTTATTTTTGTCAACAATGATGGATTATTACTTCATATTAAGAGTTCAATATTGTCTTGTTGCTTTAATTGTACCCAAAACATTTATTCTTAAAACTATTATTGTTAATGTAAAACAGAAATACACAAATAAATGAGAAAGCGAACACATGTTATAAAAATACAAAACAGGTATAAAAAAGCATCCCAAATAGTTTGGCAAAAGGCACACTGGACGGCATTAAAAAAAAGAAAAAAAAAAAAAGATACATGTATACAGTGAGATTATCAGTAGAACTACTGTTGTCAATAAAATGAAAATTAATTAATTAGGTATAAAAAAACAAAAAACGTTGGAATTGTACTAAACGTAAAAATTTGAAGTTTATAGGAAGCATTAATTATCAAAAATGATTAAGATTCCAATTATAACAGCTATCAATTATTCAAAGAAACTATAGCTGTATGTCATATATAATTGTCGAAAAAATAATCCATAAAAGCTGAAATACGCCATTTTCTAAAGCAACATTTTATACTCACTATTTATGTTTAATGGAAGAACTTTTCATAAACGCACATGAATAATGTATACAGCACAAAATCGAATCTCTGCTGTATACATTACTTTCGTACTTATATTTTAGGCCTCATGCTTCTATTTCTTCACCTCATAAATGCACCTAGTCAGATAAATTATAATTATGTACAGTGGGTTTGCTACTTTTTATTGAACATTGACTAATTTTACGTGTTAGTTTATCGAAATATACAACGGCTCTAATACTTAATGTTTTATTCTAATTTAACACCTATATCATCATTTTCGTCATGATCCAATGGTGTAATAGCATTTGATCGATCAAAATTCTCTCGTGATTCGGTTAAACTTGTATTTCCAATTAACTGATGTTCATTTTCAAAACTAACTTTTGATTTTTTATTTTGGTTATAAGCTCGACTTGAATAATATCGAACAATATCTTGTTCTTCTTCTGTGATTGGATCACTTAATCGACGTCGCAATTTTGCTGATTGTTGAACGTTGTCTGATTCAAAATTTGTTCGACTATTATTGTAAAATGACAATGAAGACGAATTAGGAGCAGTTAAAGCAGAATGACACCGATTTTGCTGATCGGTGGATGATGTGGGTAGAAGTGATTGAGATGTGATAATATTTAATGCAGGAGTTTGTGGTTGTCGTAATTGTATCTTTGATAATTTAACTTGCTCGTCAATCTTGTGCTTTGTTAAATTTCTTTCATCAATTACTTCAGCACATTTTTTCATAAACAAATGTCTAGAAAAGAAAAAAGTTGATGATTTACCAACAAATCAAAATGACAAAAAAGCCTATTTGTATACTGAAAAATGCAAGTAAAACTTAATCTCTTATCAACGATTGTATTTTATTCCAATGCATTTTTTAACAAATTATGAAGCGATTGAATCTTACCTTAAGTCAGCATTTTGTAAATTTAAACTATCGATACGATCGGTATATATTTTTTCGATTTCCTTCGTCTTCTCATCAAAACGTGTTCGAAATTCATTCAACTCACGCATCTAAAAAATAGCTAAAGATATTTTTTTAATCACTACAGAAAAACTTCAACTCAAACGTACACACTGAACATGCTGAATTTCTAGATCTTTCAGTTTTGTTGATAATAAAATAGTTCGTTCTTTATAATCATCTAAATCTAATTTTGCCGATGTTAATTCTTTACTCAGCGATTCAGTTTTTGCCCGATCATAAGCTGTATCAGCAAACGTTTTATGAATGGTCTGAAAAACAAAAATTAGAAAAAACAAAACAACTGAATATAATCGAAATAATGTCGGTGCCTGTTTGAGTATATCACCTCAACTTCTTTCTGATGCTGTTTTCGTATATTTTCAATTTCCATTTTTTGTCGTGCAGCGATATTTTTTCTTTCTTTCATTATCTGATCATTTATTTTTCGATTTAATTGTTCTTCTTTTATATTCATTTGATCACGCATTTTTTTCATCAACTCTTCACTTTTTAAATGTATTTTTTCCTCATTTTCCTTTTCTAAAGTTATCTAAAATTCAAATAAGAGCTATAAATACAAAAAATATACTTTCTTTCTGCATATTCTTACTTTATATGTGTGAAATGAACTTTTAACATAATCCATTTCTTTTTGTATGTAGCTTTCTCTAGCATCAGCTTTTGCTTGTTCTTCCATTATTTCTTGGCTGTGTTTGGAATGTAAATTTTCAAGCATATTATTGTGATTTACTACTATCTGATTAATTCTATCATTGTATTTTTCACTTTGGATACGAAATTGATTGATAAGATTTTCTTCAGACTATAAACGAGCTGAAGATGATTATGAACTAACAATATCGATTTAAATATTACCCTATGACGTGTTTGTTTATGATTAAGTCGTTCTTCTTCTAATAATAACGTTAAATCATCAACTTGTTCAACTAAATGATCGATATGAGCCTTAATTGGTGGTGGCAATAATGACTGTCTAAAACAAAGAAAGATTCAATACTGTATTAAAAATGAATATTCAGAACAAGTTCACAGCTAAATGTCTTTAAATTGCATACTGCGTATCGTTATCGAGCGATATTATTTCGTCTTTTATGGTAAAAAAATCATCGGATATAACAGCATCTACATTTTGTTTATTTTGCATCAATTGAAAACCTTCCTGACTATAAACAGGTCGCTTATCACCCTGAAATAGAAAATCATATTAGTATTGAATTCATCAGGACTATCATGCAGTTCTTTACATCAAGTACTCGTTGCCAAGGATCTAATTTCAGCTTTTTCAACAGAAAATGTGAGGTGGATTTACTGCCCAGCAAGTGAGTACGCGATACACGATTTTGAGGAAGACTAAAACAAACATTAACACTGACAACAAGATTGTCATATTGGATAAACTTACGGCACTCCATATGTTGGTTTGATTGTTTGTGGCTGATGACCGCTGCGCGTAGCCGATCTAAAATAAATTATAAAAAAATTGACTACTATAATAATTCTAAAACTCATTACCTTGCACGATTCATTTTAGAATTTATTGCAAGTAAATCAACATTTTAACTCCTCTTGCCAACGCTTTTAAAATAAAGTAATCTACAACAGAAACGTCGGTACCACATGTCATGCACTACGCGCATATTCGGAAATAAAAATTATTCCTCACTTAAAAATTTAAGCTACATTACACGCGTCTTTTTTAATAAAAAAACGAAATTTTTTTTACACAGAAACATCGATAGATTCTGTTCTCTATCTTGACAAGTTTTTGAGTAGTAAAAATCAGCTAGATCTATTTCCTTTCAAAGTATAGATGAAACAACACGTTAATTTAATACATGAATAAAACCAACTGAGCGCATAGTTGAAGTTTTACTGTGGAATAGCGTATTTTTATACCATGCGTATCACCAACAGAAAAATAAAGTTCATTCAGAGTCGTGGAAAAGTGCTCTTTCGTATTCACCACACTCAATAACCCAGAATATTTTCTATTTTTAGCAAGACGTATTGTCAAAAGTTTGGAAAAATTTTCCAAACAAAATGACGAACAAGAATTTTCTATAGGAAAATAATATTAATTTCAAAATTTTTCTTAAATTTTTGGCCATATGTCTCGTCAAAAATAGAAAATCTTCTAGGTTATCGAGTGCGCTGAATATGAAGAAGCACTTTTCCGCGATTATTGTAAATAAACTTTATTTTTTTCTTCATATTGATATAATATTCCATTTTGGTATAATCCTCGCAAATCGCTAAGTCGGATTTGATCTGACAAAAAAATAACAGCCACACCCTTCCGTAACACCCTATATAGCAGAACGTTCACGGTCTCGTTCATTTATTTACCAATAATAACAAAGGGTATATAATGGATGTCTTTTTCGATGGAATGTGATTCATCGAACAGCGATATTAAAGGTTTTAAACGTGGAACATGCCATGAGAGAGTGAGAAGCATACCTGTTTCGTGTGGAAGCCTACTTATTTGCGTATTATATCCAAATATTCCAAAATGTAGCTCAAAAAGCTGTTGTAAGAACTTGTATATAGTCGATACACAAATTGAAGTGTGATGCATGATTCTCCCTGAGTTGCAATTTCGAGTCGTCTCTTATATAATAGTTTTCGAAGTACGATCTGAATTCTAAGTATCATAATGTTCGAAAGTCTCATATATTAATGTGATTTAAAAAAATTAACGTCAAAAAGATGACTATTCTTATTTCTCTTTCTTGAATGAATAAAAGTTTAAACTAAAGAGAGAAACCATGGTTGACGTATGTCTAGTTTTCATTTCTAGTGTTCTAACTACTTTGTTCAGTTTCCACAAATGCGTACAGTAATGTCAGAAAGAAATATCTTTAAGGTTCTTTCTTGTTGCACGGCTTTTCAAAATTTAAATCGTGAGACTGGAGAACTCTTCGACGTCTATCTATCTTACCTCTTTAGAGTATGTCTTATTCAATCCATTCGTTTCTTTCTCGCTATATTGTTTGACAATGTTTTTGTAATAATCAAGTTCATCATTGCATTGAATTAGAATCACAAAATTTTTGGCTGACTACAGTAATCTATTCTGTTGCGTTCTTTTAATATATTCATGACATTTATTTGAATTGATTTGATGTGAAGCTATATTCGGAGTCTTATAAAACATGTTCAATACCCTGTGACTTTCTCCTTTGACATGCTACATATTCTTTTTTCTTTCTCTTGTACATTGTTCAAAGAAAAAGAAAAACTGATTGCTTTTTTGCCTTCAAATAATTATTAAATATACGGGTGTAATATGTCTCGTTGCAAACTAATCATACTTTTATATATTTATGTAATCGGTTTATCTTTTTTTTCTCTATTTTCCGGTAATAGACGGAGAGTAAGCGATAGGCAATAACAATGACTATTTAGTTATAATCAGAAGGTCAAGTAAGTCGACTTTATAGGTGTTATGTCAAAGTAAATTTAATAAAATATAATAAAACAGGATATATGTATATATATATATATGTTTGTGTAGTAATACGCAAAGTAACATGAAGAACGAGAGGAAGTTCCATTGTCACTTGTGACAGCCATTATAATACGTTTTCAAGCGGCTAATAGAAAAAAATGTCGATCAGAAATATTACCAAAGATTATTTTAAGAGATATATTTCATTTCTCTTAGATGTAATTCAAAAAGAAATCAGTTTATTAACACGAGTTCTCAAGGAGAATGACTACATCAACAAATCGTGAAGGAATTTCAAAAGGTAAGAAAAGAAAAGCAGTTGAATAATACTTTCCATTTTTCCCTGTATTTTAGAAAATATTGTGCTAATTCCATTACATAAAACTTCAACAGAAAATATTGTATCGTTGGAAAGACGTCAAATCTCTGATGTTAATGATCCAAATATTTTACATCGAGGCAGCGGTCCTAATTCCGATTTTATCATTTATAAAAACTCACAAGCCGGTAGTGATTAGCATGGCACTATCTATCTTATTATTTTTTTGACTAAATCTTTTTGTTCTGTTATCCTAGCACAAAATGAATCGGAGTCTGCTCATTTCTCCTCCCATTTCAATGTGTACATAACAGATAAACAAAGTCAAGAATTACATCAAGAAAGTCGTCATATTCGTTTGTGGTTTTATGATGTTATCAGAAATCAATGTCTGTACGACGCACATGAATTAATTCGATCACTACTTAAATCAGATGAATTTCCGAGAGGCGAGTTATCTCACACATTGAAGTATATAAAGCTAATTTTTATCTCATATTTTGATTCAGATTATTTTTCATTTATTAAACGCTTAATGGAATTAATGCGTAATTATGTGAATATAAGAAAAATGGAATTAGACATACGAACACTTGAGAATAGATTAGAACCAGGAAATCCGAGTAAGTTCCATAATAAAAATTTGTTAATGAGATCATAAGTTGCATAGATCTTTTTGCTTCAATTGTTCAATTGTAGTATGTTTTATATTTTCAGTCGAACTCTATGTTTCATCGTTAATGATTAACGATGCAGATTATCTTTCTCAAAGTAAATTTAAAAATTAGTTGTAGATCAGGGTATTTATGCATGTGTGAATGTCTGTTTGAATTTACTAACTCATTAACAAAGCTAATTTTATTGTAGTATAGGTTTTTCGAAGCTGATAGTATTTTATTTGTCGATAAATTTACATCTGAATTTTGAGTTCAATTTAGTGATAAAAAATTAAATGCACTGAAAATGTTTAAAATATAATTGCATGTTGTGTTTGATACTTATTTAGATCTATTAATTATAAAAAATTTGTTTCTACTTTAGTACATCAAAAAGATCCGAAACGCTACGAAGATTTGATCAAGGAAAAACTTTTAGATTTGCTTGAACAGGCATTTCCAAATACAATGCAAGTCAGCGATTTAGCAAAGTTTGTATTCACTTTCTTTCGTTAACTAATACAATGTGTCTAGGGATTCTTTTATTTTAGATATGTTGAATGTGATGCACAAAGAATATTTCAATTTTTAGTTGAACTGGAAACAAAAAATTTAGTAAAACATTTAGTAAGTGTATTTACTGAACAGCATAATCTTTTGTTAAAGATTAAATTCTAAAAACAAATTCGCTATTATCGAGATCGTTTGACTTGATTACCTTCGAATACTTGCTAGTTAGTTTTGCTTGTATTTGTTTGAAGGATGAAGACGGTCAATTATGGACACGTGTTATAATAACGGCCTCAGAAGAGGATACGCATAGTAAGTAAAAACTATGTCTTATTTAAAATTCGTCAATTATTTGACTTTTATTTGTTTCTAGAGGTGATATTATACAAATCTGTATTAGAAGTTTCAAGTATATTTCAACCAACTATTGCTATCATAACGGTGAATTATTTTGAAAAATTAGCGGTTGATTCAATGATTGAAAATAAAGTGACATTTGTTCGACATAAAACAGGTAAAACAGTATATCTTTCATTTCACCATAGATAAAGGGTGGCCCAGAAGTCCTGACTCGATTTGAATGGTTAGTTTTTCTTTAGTAAAATACATGATTAAAAATGTGTCTCCAGTGTGAAAAGATGCAGCAGAACACGCTCTACAAAATGGCTCTTGATTGATCATTCTACCTCATATAGTGAGAAAGTTACAAGCCGAAACATGTTCCACAGAAAATAAAAATTAATCGTGATCTTGATCTCGGTATTTTGCTCTAACGAAGTTCCGTTACTTAGATTTATCAGAACAAGTGCCTGTTTTAAATCGAAGCGCTGAAAAATCATACTTAAACTTTACTTCCAGAACTCCGATTAAGAAAGACGTAGCAAATTATACGCGAGGCAAAAACTAAGAACTTCATGAATTTAGTTGTCTTTTACTTGAAATTTTTCTTTTCTTAATATTTCTGTTCGACAGGGTATGAAAGTGAGTACTCATTGGTATTCGGTACTTTTAAATTTACTCTTTCTTGTGTCTCTAAAATATCTGCTTTATAGAAGATGGTGTGCTTGAGATTCAAATTTGAAGAATACGTCGAGAATTGGCACTGTGGTTTTCGGCAATGTACTCAGCAAAAAAAGAAAAGGTGATCAATGTTTTGACGTTGCAGCTAGTTAGAGGAGTGCAATAATTTCTGATCAAAACAAACCTGATTGGCAAACCTTCTGTTTTGATGCAGCTACGAGACTTTTATAGGAAGAACCATCATAGAAATCGGGTTTACGGTTAATTTTTATTTTTCGTGGAGCATGTTTCTAAGCTTGTAACTTTCTCACTATATGAGGTAGAATGATCAGTCAAGAGCCATTTTGTAGAGCGTATTCTGCTGCATCTTTTCACACTAGAGACACATTTTTAATCATGTATTTTACTAAAGAAAAACTAACCATTCAAATCTAGTCAGGACCTCTGGGCCACCCTTTATGTAATCATATTCTTTTGTACTATGTTCAGGAGATTCAAATGTGTATACAATTGGAACCATTGGTCCTCATCATGTTGTTTCAACCAAATTACCTCTAATTGGTAGAAGTCGAACAGCACAAATATCAACCGGAAGCACTACAACTCGTCTACTCGGTTAGAAAACAAAATAAGGAAGACTGTCAGAAATTAAAATTTGGAACTACGAGAATGAACTAGATATATTGTTGCAATCGATAGCGTAGCTAAAGATTCGATATTCGCGAATAAGTCGAAAGTCTAAAATTCTGTATAGCTTCAGCAGAATTAATATATCTCATAATTTGCAAATGATGTTTTAGCAATCTCTTTTCTCGATCATGCTTGATGATTAAACTATAATATTACTGTTCTATTTTAGGAACATTTCAACATATTGTTCATGTTTTTGTAATCGGGTGTGCAGGAGGCGTACCTCATTATACAGATTATACAAAACATGTGAGACGAGGTGACATTGTTGTCGGCTATCCCAGTCAAGAACAATATGTTTATGGTACGAAAACATGAAGAAGAAATTGAAAAGCAAAAGTTGCCACTATTCCTTTGTATTTTCAGGGATCTATGAAGTAGAACAATCGAATGAAGGCTTTGAATTTGTTTCGACATGTTTTAAACCAAAAAGTTTTGAACTATATAATATTGTTGATTCAATAAAACAAAATTATCAACAGACAAAATCCTCGAACATACAACATCCATGGGAAAAATTCCTTGCTGAAGGAATCAAGAATCTTTCATCGCACAATATCGAGTGTATTCCACCAACTCACAATGATAAGTTATATCTCAAGATGGGTAGTGGTGATGTTGTGGAAGTCGAACATCCAACAGAACAACAATCTCAGCAAATAAAATCATCAAAGCAAAAGGATTATCATTCTCCAACGTTAAGATTTGGAATGATTGCTGGAGGAAAAAATGTAGTGAATAACGACTATTTAAAAACCGTATTATCTGATACATGTAATGTGCTATGTTTCGATTTGGAAATTGATCAAGTTTTAGCTGCTATACAAGGAAATCGGACAGAATCATTTCTCATTATAAGAGGCATATCAGATTATCATGATGGAACATTAAATAAAGATTGGCAATGTTTTTCGGCGCTATGTGCCGCTTCATTTATGAAAACAATTATTTATAAAATACCATTTATAAAAAAACACTATCAAAATAAACAAGATGACGATATCTTATAGAACAAACCATTCTTTCATGGAATGCCTACAAAATCAACAAAAGTTTTTTTTCGACTACTAAAAAATCTTAATTTTCAAATGAATTTGGATATCTCAAGTTGCATACAATCAAATAAGAACATCACCATGTTTTTAGAAATTTACGAGCACTATTCTTCAGCTTTATTTAACAGCTTTTTCAGGTGGAGTTCCACATTTCTTTCATCTACATTCCTATTATTCTATGAATAAGTGTACTTTTTTTGCATATTTTTCTCTTACATTTAACTTTATTATACAATGTGCTACTTTTTATGTGCAATTTTTGTATATTGTTTTGTTTCAACGAAATTATAGTTATTTATTGGAATGAATTTTTTCTAGTCATTATGTTTCTATCAATGTTCTTTTGTCAGATTTAAAAAAAGATTCGGTGTTCTTTCGATTTGTTTCAATCGTTTCTTTGTCAGTTCATCCCAGAAGTTTTTCGTTTTTTAAAAACATGTAAGTTTTTTACTAGGCAAAAAATATGTAGTAAATACGAGTAGATTTGTTTTGACTGATTGTTTGTGAGAAGAAACTGTTTCAATTCCCAAAATCTATGCACAGAGATAGTTGAAACAAGAGTAGCAGATCCTTTGATCTCCCGACCGGTAAAGCTGGTATGTTTCCGAAATTGTTCTCTATTGATGTTTCATTCTATTATCGTCATTCATTAAATTATCCTAAATTACCTACCTACAACAGTAGCATAAATTTTTCTCATATGGAAACAATCGTTTATTGATTTTCGGATTCGATCGGAGTTTAGAGTTTCTGTTGTCCTGTACGCTTTAGCACTCAGATAGAATACCTAAGATTCGCCCTTTGTTATTCAAGCAGCTGTACATAATATTTGGTTTCCATAATGGATACATGATACCGAATGTCTATGTCCAACCACACGAAAACAAATGGTTTCATTTATACAAAGATATTGTGTCACCTAATCAAACGCGGTAATAAACAAAATGTTAAAATGAATTTACATTGACTGATATGTGAATTTGAACAAGCTACAATACATATGTTTGATAAGTTTTTTATTCTACCAGTATAGAAGCGGAAAACATTCGATTATAGTATTCTAAACTAAAACTATCGACAAAAACAAAATCAGTTTTGTACGAATAGAGATTCGAACACATGAACTTAACGTAGATTAAATGCGTTTCTTAATGTGTTTCCAACTATCACAATAGACGAATGCTTTGTCCACCTCACACAATTACTGTGGCGTAAAATCCAGAAAACTGGCATGAGCGGACTATTTTCGATCTAAGAAAAATAACAGTGGAAGAAATGGTATTATTTCTGACGACGAGAAGAAACGAGTTGATCATTGGTTTCACATATTAACGAAGTATCGTACGCTTGCTTTAATTTTGTTACACAGGTTTTATCACTTATGAGTTTTAAATACTTCCACTAGTATTTATTTTAACTATTATGCATATTTCTTGTTTTCAGATATTGCAAATCAGAAATTGTGTGCCCATGTTATGGAAAAGAAACCTAATCGACATTCAAAGGATGCAAATTTGGACGCTGGTTATGTGTCGATTGATCAGTCTTCATTATACAATCATCTAGGATTACATGGGAAAAAATTAGTCTGTTTTATGGTCTCCTCTTCTTTGTTCTTATTAGTTTTATCAACTAAGATGTAAGTGTGAACAAACACTCGTTTTTCTATTCGATTTTTTTGATAATGTGCAATTTTTTTAGATATTATAATGGTTGATGGTTGATGCACAAATTACAATAGTCATCATCTGATTTAAAAAGTATTCACCGTTAAAAAGAATGAATTTATTATCAGTAAACTAGCGAACATCACAAAAATTATTTATGCAACTAGAATCAAAAATTTAAAAAATCTATCAAAACTTCAACTGCATTTGAATGAACAAGTATGTAATTAATAATCAAATCATTTTGATTCTGTGTATCCGTTTAATTAGATAGAAATGAAATGAAGTACTACTACTATATTTATTATTTCTTTTAGCTCGATATTTATGGACAACTGCAAGTAATGGTGCTGTATAATGATCAAATATCGTTGAATACACATCAGTTTTATGTAAATCATTATCCATTCCATTTTAAAGCTATCCATTCATATTTATTTAATTGTACAGCTCGAGTTCACATTAATCATCTTAATTCTCATCAGGTATATTCTCTAAGCAAATCAAGTCTGTATGAATATCGATTGTTTCTAATTTAGATACAAAGTGACCTTTATCTTCATCTCATATTGACATAAGCGCCAACGATCATTTATCACTTAAAAAATTAATGAGATTTGTTTTCAGGAGCAAAATTTATTATTATTATCAAAACATAATGATAATAGATCACTGATTAAATTTTCGAAATTAATGCCAGATACAAATAAGGTAACTCAAACAGGGCAGAGTTTGAAAGTTCGTTTCAGTGCGTAAAAAATTTGAGCAAAGAAAGTTTTATTATATAACGCACTCATGTCTTATTTATGAGAAATTATATGATTTGAAAAAAACCTTAGTAAGTTCTTTAAGTTTTTGCTTTAGACGATGGTCTTTATTTTCGTGTTGTTTCATTATTTATTAATATGAAACAACTATCACCATCCTTGGAGTCAAATGATTGTCAACAACACCATCATAACGATTATTCGGATACTCACATGTTTCCCATTATTTATCGCCTTTGTATCTATAACACATCATTTCCATTATTTAGAAGTTCATCAATGAATTTTTGTCCATCATGTTAGAATGATGTTTGTGAATTTGTTTTAATGTTTTAAATCTATGATTATGAAGTAGACATGTACAAAATATGAAAAATATTTGAAAAATGCTATGTGACTAGTGCATTCAACTACACTATCATACATTTATAGAGATGACAAATTATTTATTGTACTATACATTTTATCTATGTTTTTTAAACAGTAAATTGTTTAGTTTGTTGTTTTGGGGCTATATTGTTTATAATACATTAGGAATGTTTAATAGTTTTTTTTAAATAGATTAGTGCTAAATCTATTTTTATGCCTGCCTATTCATCATGTATATGACTGTTTTTTGTCTTTAATCATGTTTAATATCGATTTTCTTCTATTTTTATACAATTTTAAAAATCGTCTAATTATTGAGTAAAGTTCTGTCAACATAACCAATTTCTCTTTTGACTTGATTGCTTAGCTGTGTAGTTGTCAGATCACTGAACTCGAACGATGATCAGCAAACGTTTTTTCTACTTTTAGAGATAAATTAAAAATGCCTGATCATCGCACATATCAAGATTCGTTTTATGGTTGGACAATACCAAAAGCAGTCTCTGTTTGTACTAATACATTGAAAGAATGTAATCTTCCTCCAGCGACAATTCAACAATTATTATCAAGTAAATATATTATTTATATTTAACGACAAATATGTTTAATATTTTTTTCTTATTATCTTTTTTAGTGAGTGAATCACAAATATTAGGCACATCTCCATCAATCGACACTCTGGCAGATATATCAGAAAAACATTCAATTTCTATTGAACAAATTCTTTATATTTTCAATGGTTTTGTTCATGTATTAAAATTGGCATTAAAAACACCAGCAGCATTTCTTAAATCGGAGGTTTGTATATCTTTATAGGACGAAATAACAATCTGAATCTATATCTTCAATACAATTATTAATTTAGATTTTCAAAGATGATCTAAAAGAATTAAAGTAAAACAAATTGAAATAATTATAGTTTCTCTTGCTAGTGACTTCTGTTTATTTAGATTTTCTGAATCCATCATACAAGAATTAAACAATATTTTATTTGGACCACGGTAAGTATATCAAAAGAAAGCTAAATAGTCATTTTTATTCTCAATTTTTCAAGTATTCCTTGTTTTATTCAATAGATAAACTTTTTTATACGATTTTCAGGCGTGAACAACTTTATTCTGCAATCAGTGAACATAATCGTCCAAGATTGCCGTCGATAAAAACGTTTGACTGGAATTTAGATGTCACCCTAACAACTGGGTAGATTTGTACAAACACATTAAAACTTCTTGTTTTTAATGAAATATCGTGAATTTTTGTTTTAGATCATTGTCTCGTTGTGTGGAGCCTTTACTTTTATTTCAATTTCGTACAAACGATGATAAAGTTTCAACATTTGAAGTCTGTAGTAAAAATTGTCTCTCAGTTTCTCTTAATATTTGTTTCTTTATTTCTACAGGTTCCAATAAAAGCATTTAATGAATTGAGATATAATACTGCTTTAGCAATTAAAGAAATGGAGGATATTGATAATAAAGCAGCATTGAAACTATTAGAAACCTAAAATTGTATAACATTTTTTTTTTTTTTGTCTGTCGAAATAGTTTTTGATAGTATTGTGATTCTTTTTTAAATTTTTTCTATTGATTCAATTTTCTTTGTATGAATATAATCTATTCGTTATTCTTTGCAGTCAAATATAATGATGAACCTACATTTATATAGCGTATGCAAAAGTAATAAAAATGTCCAGTTTTATTCCACAGATAATATTTCTCGAAGAATTGTTGCAAATAGCTCAAAGAGAAAGGAAAAACACTTTATTTTTGTATGATGTATAATGATTATTTTTAGCAACAATCTGTGTAGTAGATGATTTCTTTGAATAATTTCTGATAGACAAAAACTATTTGTTTCTTATAAAGAAATATAAATCAGAAATTCTAATAAAAAAGAAATTTTTTTTATTTGCTCACTACTCATCAATTTAGCACGTTTATTTGACAAGAACTTTGGAGTTAAACAAAGAAATATTGCTAATAAACCATTTCTCGTTCTCTTATAATGTTTGTTATTCGAAAAAAAGTTGTCTCACAGGAATTAAGAGAATTTTTTTCTTCATTAAAAATAACTAAGATAAAATAGTTATAAGATCTATATAAAATAGATAGTGGACTGGAAATGAAACTCAAGGAAAATCTATTTTATTAAACGATAGTACTGAATTCAAACATTACGCACCCCTATAAAAAAAGTATTCATCGGCACCCATTCAGCAGGTATGCGCATACCTACCGAGAGAGTTCAAGTTTTATATGGTAGTTCTACAAAAGCGTGCCGATTTATAAATTTTGTATGGTAGACCTATGCATATCTGTCAGATGATTCTCTTTTTACTTTTACTTTTGTTTGACCAGCCTTGTAATGATATAAACAAACATCTTTCTTAATAAAATTTCTACGTTTTTGTATAGTCAGATACTTAAAATAAAGGGACGAACAACCTGTCCATCACGTAGAGCTGGTACTCACATAGCCCTCACATGAGGCTTTATCAAATTAGGAGCATAGACGGTACAAATTTAACTAATTACGTAATAAATTATTGGATGCTCGCATGCTAGAGGATCCACTGTCGCATTTCTTTTTATACCTCTGTGGGGAATCTATCACATCGCTCAGTAACACGCTAACTAAATAGGCCAGTACACTTTTGAGGTTGACATACATCGCGTTCCTGCCGGTTTTTAAAACTAGACAGGTTCTCTGCAGCCGTACGTCTGTCCTGGATGATCTGTCGTATTTTTTTCTTTCATGTTGCAGGCGGTTTTTTTTTGTTAAGTGTACTCACTCCTCAGCTTCCTGTGAGAAAACTGTAGCCTTGTAAATAGCGTACTCAGAGTCTCGATTTTCTTTATACGGTAAAAAAACAAGTGCATTTCAAAAACTGTTTGTGATAGATTATAGAAATAGAAAATAATCCTTATTTTTCTGTGTTAGTGTTAATGTTGTTCGGATGGATGCTGTATGATGTGATGATGTAATTAAATTAGATAAAAAGTTATTTTACAACATTAACTTATTTAATCAAACAAGAAAAAAATGTCTGATCTTAATCGGAGAGTATTTAGATTGAGAATATAGAGAGAAAACGACAAGAAAAAAATTAAATAGTAGAGCATCGAAAATGCTTTCTATCAAATATGGATTCAGTTCGTTCTAATAACATCCTTTAGGCAATGGGTATGTGTATATAGTGGAATAAAATTACCACAAAATGAAAAGTAGATGATCATAAATAGAATGAATTAATAACATGCACAAAAGTCATTACTAATCAATTTTAGAAGAAAAAAAACTGAAGAAGCGAACGAAAATTGCATGTATCGTCGAGTCTGATTTCCATTTAATACATTATCAACTTTACAACAAAAGAAATAGAAAAACTATTCGAATTCATTCCTTATTTTTATCTACATAGCATGTAAATAAAGAAATGTTTTTGTAGATATCAAGATCGAAAGAAGATTTTAGAGGCATTATTCCACACACCATGTTTCTCAGCTTCATTTATTTATAGATTGACGCTCATTGATTTTAAAGCTTAAAAGGTTTCGACAAGTATTTTATCAAAATAAAAAACTAGATGTAAATAGTTAGCTTGTATGAAGCCAAAACTACTAGAAAAATCGTTTATAGTATTCGCTTCAAGGACAACATGTATAAGATTTCTCTTTGCGTGCAGATTTTTATAAAAAATTAATTAAATAATAAAATTCTTTTAGCGTGTTTGTCATATTACTCTGTGACACATTTAGATTTTCTAAATCAAAATTTTTTCTTGGTGAATTAGACTTGAGAAATTTGTCACAAAATTTTTTGCTAATTATTTTTCTAATCTAAACGTTATTCTCTTTTTTTTTCTCTCTGTCTCTCTCAAAGATTACGTAACGTGAGACAAAAAAAATTCTTCTCCATCTGTGATCATTTTCTACCGGAGATATTGATGTCTGGATACATTTAAAAGTTGTTATTATATGTTTTCATTCTGCTTTTATGAAATAAAATCACGATAAGATCTTTATTGTTCTCTTCTTCTTTACACTCGTGTTTAATAACGCACAAATATGAGAGGAAACAGCAATCTGATGATCTCTGTGTACATCTCTCAATAATTATTCTTTAACGAGACAAGAGAGTTTGTGTATTTTGTTAGCTTTGCTTAATGATGAAGAGATAATATCATCAACAGCATTACCAGCAACAGAATAAATGATGAAAGGAAAAAAACTACTGAAATCTAAGTACAAAAGAACAAGTGTGTTATTCGATGTTTTCCAAATGTATTTACAATAAAAATGACGCCATTTCAGCTATTGCTATGAGGCATACAAGCAAAGTAGATAAAGTAGTAACCCTATAAAGGAAGTTCATAGAAAGACGTTTTATATTACTTCACTGATGTGAGTGAATATTTACTCCAGTTTGTATGATGTAAGAAGTTGACTAAATGAAACTTCGAAATAAATAGAAAACTTCTTACATTTTATTTCGTTTTAACAAGAAAATACCATCAAGACTACAATTATTGTAATATAAAACAGACTTGAATAAGGTTTAGTCCTTTGCTTAGAATGTGACAGTGCTAATAGTGCTTGAGTATAACTTTGTTGACAATTCGGATGATTTTCATTCAAAATAGTTTTTAAATTACTAGTAGTACTTATATCACAATCGTGACGAATATCTAAATCAATTTCAAGACATTTGCGTATTTGAATATAAGCTTCACATTCCATACTTGATGGTTGTTTTTCCGAATAATGATCACGACGAAATAAACACGTACGAATTGACTGTTGACACGAATAATCATCAACAATGAACACTAAAGACGATATTTTAGAATAACGATCGATTGTCTTATCACTACTAAATGATACTGCCAACATACTATAGTTAAATAAAGTTAACGATAAATATAAGACGATGACAAGTTTATTTATATAAAATAACTGAATAAATTTGATCAAATGATCATAAATTGGATAAAATAAAACCATTAACGTCTAACTAATATTAAATTTTTTTGGAAATTAATTAGATCAAGTTTTATATAACCTAAAATAGCTAAAATAAATTCTACAATGAAGTCTTACAACCTTCATGACATATTGCAGTGTTTATTACAACTAGCAAGAACGCTAGATAAACTTGTACGTCTTGTTTTCATCGGGGCGTAGAAGAAAATTTACTGCCAAATTTTTGTTTAAAGTAGGGCGCAGAAAAAGACACTAGATACTAACTACCCTTCGCGAAGATTGGAAAGCCGACCGAGTGGAACAGTAAACAGACGAAATTAGAACATCCAGAAAGTAAGACATGCCAGCTGATTCATTATCATCATACATTCTGCTGTAGCTTTCATCATTTCACTATCTTTGACAATCCAGTTAGAACACTGTAGTGCTCTAGTAGTAAACATTTTGATGAATTCTATCTGTAGTAATTTTTCAGACTATAAATTCATCAAACTATACAGAAGTATAGACTGATAAGTATCATATGACTACTTAATGAATCACTCTACACAATTTATACTGAATGTATATGAAGTTTACGTGACAATTAATTATTTCATAGAAAAGTTATTGAAAATATGTTCAACTTTTGGGACTCACTACTTAATAATTAAAACATCTATCGACAAAATACCTTCAGCCGTTTCATATACCGCTCTTGTACTCTCGAATGATGTTTTTCCCAAATCTGAACGATTAGTAGTAGCTGAGAGCGAATGGGTGGGTGACTCGAAGCATAAAGTAGGTGTAGAAGAAAGAAGAAAGAATTTTTTATAGTGAAACAGAATAAGCCTCATCGAATTTCACTCGATCGGCTTAAAGAATTTTGCTAGGGATTTTAATGACGTCTAGGGATGACGTCTATAGTTAAAAATGTCGTGATATGACACCCAAATTTCCGTAGAGAGTGATGTACAATCGAACCTATCTAATGACTCCAAGTTGATGCAGAACGTAACCATGTACTAAAGTGTGAATGAAATATCTGGAAAATATTTTGAGAATGCCAAGAAACATGAGATAACTAACTATAATTGCGTATGGGCGAAAAATGTACGCTTAAACTTAGTTTACATGTCTACCAAAGTAAAGATTCCATTTCACTCGGTGCTTTTTTACTATTAGGTATTGTTAATGTTACTTCCTTACGCTAGCTAAGAGGTTGTTCAACACATTATATTCTAATGTAGAAGATGCAATCGAATGTAAAGAAAAATAAGTGTTCAAACTTACCCGTTATGCTTCGCTGAATTTTAATCTTGAAATGAGCACATTTCAAGTCAAGAACAACATGTTAATGAATGAAAAATTACGTATATTCACGGGGTTTTTCTCTTCTTCGTTTTTTCCAGTAGTTGACAAGTGTTTTATATAAAGACTTTATCTTTCAAATGATTAGCGTTCATATCAAAGTGGATGATAACCTCATATTATTCTATCAAACACAAATGATTGATGATGATGATAATTTTCTTAAAAAACTTTTTACTTGTTTATATGGTATCGTCCCGATTCGTCGACAAATCGGACACTTCAGAGAATATGCATCAAAGAATTTCAAAGGCGGGAGGGGCGGTGTGAGAGTGAGTGTCGACGAATCGGGACTGAATCGTTTATATTGAACATATACAGGTGTTTTAGCTATGTACAATAAAGACTTTTTTTTTCTTGTTCGTTTAGAAAAAAAATGAAAACGGACTCAAAGTATATGTGTGTGTGAAATATGCATCAAAAATTGAACGTCAATGAAGAAGAACCGGAAGACATTCCACACCAAAAAAGAAGAAAAAGGAGTGTTATGTATTATCAATACTACAGCACATTTTCAAACAAGAAAAAAAAGAAAAAGAAAGGAGAAAAAATAACAAAGTTGTGCCTGTTCTCTTTTCTTTTCTCTTTCGACCATCTCCTGTTTAATTATCGAATCAATATTATACACTAAAAGGTTCTGTTGTTTCACACACAGACAGAGCAAAGTATTTTAAATATATAGTTGGTGGTAAAATGAGAACAAATAAGATTAAAATTGTTAAGATATTTTAAAAGTATTTTTTTTTTACTTAACACTACTGCGACGTCTTGATGCGAGATACGCATATGGATCCGATGAACTTTTTATTACTTCATCAAAAATGATCTGTGATTTTTTTCTTTCTCTCTCATACTGTCGTTTTTAATTTCCTGTTTCCTGTTTAGTTACTAATAACAATCATGACTTTTTCACTTTTTTTTCGTTCACTCTTTTTCACTTACTCTTCTTACTATAATGTGATATGTACTTGACAATACAATGAAATACATTTCAAAACTAATTGAGTGTCAGCGAAACATATCTCTTACATATTGTTCACATAGATACAATCATTTCCAGATTCTCGTTTGTCAGAAAATATAAAAGAGGAAAAAGCTTAGCTCACTCATTCGTTCTCAATTTATATTTTCATATACAAAACCACAAAACAGAAGGACATCAAAATCTGGACTAATTATATAGTCGATGTGAGAACATGCAATCCAATGTGGAATATCGCGAAGGACAAAACTGTTGCCAGATTATTTTTGTGTCCGTTCGTACAGATGTATCCGTCTACTGAACATTTGAAAAGACTTTCAAATGCAGGAAGAGTCTTTAAAAAAAACAAATTTGGTGACAAGAGTCAATTTGATTGTTTCTTCAAAGTAAACTGAAACGCTTCTAAGTATTAATTAACAAAATGAATGGATAATTGTTTTTTGTGATGTGTAATAATTTGAGCAGGAAAGTAATTGAGACAACAGCAGCTTTGAACATTTTACGTTTATTTGAATCATAAACGTCGACATTTCACTGTTTTGAACAGCATTTTCAAGACAATAGTGTAAAAATGAATTTGATAAGATTCTTTCTATAATGTAAAGATAAACAGCATAGTTATCACAACGTATTTTGGTCATAAAACTGTTTACATAGCTCCTACTAACCATTATCAGTGATTAATACACAACATTGTGTACCGTACAGACAATGTACAGTATACTATGGCTGTCATCCCGATCAACTATTAAGAAGGCTACGGTCGACTTCGATGAAAGAAATTTTTCAGGGTACGTAACTCGCGTCACTGATCTGACAGTTTTTTCAGTTCTGGTTGTCGAGCCATTATAGCAAGTGATTTTCGAACTAACAATCTATAGTATCGAGCATCTTTTGAAATAATTTTCCCTTCTTTCCAGTTAATCTTTCTACTTCGTGTTTGCGAAGAGCTGATTTAATCTCGACCAAATTTTCGATGTCACCACTATTATTCAGTACAGGATCTTCTGCTGCAAAATATGCAATATTTTTTCAAATATTTCTTTCAGATTGTTGTAGTGACGAATTGTCAGCTGTTGTCGCCTCGCAATCAGAACATTTAGCCATGTAGACTATGTGAGAAAATCCTTTCGCATAGGGTCTTTCCAGAGAAAAAATTGCCCAGCGGACCGAGGTGATCATAAAAATCGACTGAAGCTCCGTCTGCGGCCCTATCTGTTTAGCGAGACTGATTAGCTTTTTACTCAACTGCACGGGAAAGAAAAATGGTATAGTACGGAACTTAAAAGTGGTTTCGAGAATTAAAAGCATTTCTGAACCCTTTTTAGGTTCCGTACGAAACCTTAATAAGGATCCACGAAACTTAATAAGGTTTCGCAGATTCGTATGAAACCTGAAAAAGGTTTAGAAATGGTCTAGAAATTCTCTTTTTTTTCAGAGTGGTTCATCTTTTATGTATTTTTTTATCTTTTTCTTCATAAAATTCGTTTAATATCTTATGTATTTGGGGCTAGATGAAATTCCCAATGTATTGAAGATGGATATATACTTTACAAAAAGAACTCAGTATGCATTATTTTGTATGTCGAGTATACTTCTATCGCCGGATCCCACATCGTCAATAGGCGAGTGTATGCCGGTTTTCTGTACACGGCTGTCCCAGGGTGAAGAATCATCTCTTTTTCTTCTTCATGAGTAAATTGGATATTACAGTGAGTTCAAAATTCATTCAAAATTTTCTGTTTCTTGTGTCTACATCAACTTTGGTAACAGCGAATGTTTCGTCGATAAATCGCGTCCGGTATAGGACGCCATTTTTCTCTACATCTGCACGGTAAAAAGAAAAGCGTCCAAAAAAGCGTAACGAACGGTCACAAATACATATGACACACGACACCTACTGATTCTGCACAATGAACTATCTGGCTGCGTTGGATGATAATATTATCAAATGAATTATCAAACTGTATTCCCTCCCCCCCCCACACTTGTTAGTGCTAAATTCCTCTCACAGGAGATTAGAGCTCCGGAATTTGCCCCGAAATTTTTCTGGGAGAGGGGTTTAAGAAAAAAAATTTTCAATTTTCGCTAGGAGGAAAATGATTCCGCACAGAATCTTATCTTCTGCCGAACCTTTTAGAGGTTCAGTGATGGAACCCAGTTCTCGAATCCTTAAAAGGTTCTGCAACGTATCTTTCGTGTAATTCCTTCCCTGGATTCCTCTGAAAGAAAAGGAATAAAGAGTGAAAGTTTGTAAAGGAAGAAGGCTGGAAATCTGAAAAATTTAATTTCCTCCCCTAACGCTTGCGGACATACACGAACCCACGGACAATACTGAATATACACTGATTACGCGGACAAGCTAACGGAGAATCTTAACAGAATTAAAACAAATTAATATAAATGTATACACCCGGAGGATAGGTTTCAAACAGCCCTACCTTAGTCCATCACGTTTGAATGGAGGAGTTACACTTTGGATCCAAGGTCTGCGCTGATAAACTTTCTTTTAGAGAATAGAATTTATCTATCTAGTTTATTCAAATTTTTTATAAGAAATTCAAGGTTATATTACTGTAGTTCAAATAGTTTGCAAATAAAATGGATAGTACATCAAGAAATAAAAAATTGCTGAAAAGTGAGTACCTCTAATGTTATATTTGGCAGATGGAACCGGAAAAAATTCCATTTCTTTTACAGCCTTGGCGAATGGTACACGGCAGGACTTTTTGTGTACGATGTACCGTAGTTGTACAGGCATTTCCTCAAGAAGTATCAATTAGTGAGGAGCACTATTTATTTTATTGAGATATTGTTTTCTTCATTTAAAAAATACTAAATAAAAGAAGAAGAGAAATCTTAGTTCTCCTGATCCCGCCTGAACTTTAATTTTTCGATGATAAAAAGCTGGATTTTAATAAAAGATAATAAAAGATTCCCAGCCAAATCATTTCTCATCAGACCGACTTGGTTTTTATCCATGTATCACACCTCGTTACTCAGCATGATTTTAGTTAGTTTATCACTTCTTTTTGTTTTTTAGTGTTCATTAACCACCACTGATTTGTTGATAAGGTTGAATTGATTATTGAAAATAGTTACGTTTTATGAATTTATTCCGATAATAGAAGAGACGTATGTTCCATCAAACTTCACGATTGAAAATAGTGAGAACATATAAGAAAATTGTTTTATATCATACGATCAGAAATATGGTTATGTGATTAGATCATTGACTTCCTTGTTCGTTAAACTAGAAGGAACTGCAATTGATAAATATTATATGGTTGCTAAATAAATGGAAAATAAAGGTACGAAAGATTCGTACCATTGGGTGAACAGCAATGATAGAAAGTATGAATATATTATCATAAGTCTGAATAATTGGGAATGGAATAAAATTGATTTTCCTCCGTTTTAAACTCGAGATGTCTGAAAGCGTCGGGATCTACAAACGATGTTTCATCAACACCTTCGTAACTTATTTTCTCATATGATTTGCCTTGTTGCGGCTGTTGTAAATGACGAAATGACTCCAAATTAACATACGGACGATCATCAATAGCCACATCGTATCCACCTTGATCGTTTTTTGTCGGATATTTTCGTTCTAAATGTGCCAAGGCATTGGGATTTTGTAAATAACTGGTTGTATCAATCAATGGTCCTTGTTTTTCACGTGGTGATCCACCAGCAGGACGTTCAATATATTTAAAAGCATCTGGATTTACGTACCCACGTCGGTCGATGCCGGATTCAATTGGGGGGGCACATTTTTGAAATTTTTTTTCAATGTGAGCAAGAGCATTTGGGTTTAGTAAATAACTGCGAGTATCAATTTCTGACGTGATATGATCCGACTTTGGTGGTGGACGACGTTCGATGTATCTAAAGGCATTTGGATTTACGTAAGATCGCTCATCTACTTCGGGACCTTCAATTTTTCGTTGTGGCTCTTTTCGTTCCAAATATTTGAATGCTGCTGGATTGACCATCGGTTTATAATCGATTCCACTTTCAATATCCGGTTTCCGTTGTGGTGCTTGTTCGATATACCTGAATGCATTTGGATTTACAATGGGAGAATGATCAATACCACTTTGCGTAATTAGTTTTGGCTCTGGTTTACGTTCTAAGTATCTGAATGCATCTGGATTCACAATTGAACGGGTGTCGATCAATGGCTCATTCAAATCTGGTGCCACCTTCGGTTGCCGTTTATTTTCCAAATACCTGCAGCAAAAAATCAGTAAAAATAGCTGCAATATTTAGAATGTTCGCTCAAAAACTTTCAAGCGTCTCTACTATCAACTTGATAATAAACTGTAAGGCTATGCATTTATTTCTTGAAGGTATTTCTCTAGTACAAGAGGAATATGTCATAAACACGTACTTGAATGCATCTGGATTTGTTATCGGTCTAGTGTCGATGTGCGGACCTTGGTCTTCTTGATTCTTTTTTCCTTCTCTCTTATTTTCTATATACCGAAAAGAGTCAAGATTAACGATGGGGCGATCATCAATACCCACTATATCATCATCTTTTTTCTTCTTATTCAATTGATGTTGACGTCTACGCTCAAGTTGTTGTACAGCATCTAAATTAATTATTGGCCGATCATCAATGCCCTGTTCGATATCATCCGTTTTTTTTTGTGCTTTTCGTTCTTTCATGTTCAAATACCGAAAGGCACTCGGATCGATAATCGGTGCATCGTCAATTTCACCACGTGGCTCTTTTTTAGCATAGGCACTCGCATAACCCATACCCTTTGGTTGTACGAGAGAAGGACTGGATGAGCCGCCTGTTTTGCTCACAAGTGATGGGTTGATTGGTTTCATTCTGAATGGAGGAGACAACGGCTGTTGTTCGCCTGGGCGATTGTAAAAATAAGCTGGTTGAATTTCAGATTTAATTGCTTTTGCTGTTTGAAAGTTATATGGTGCTTGCGATGACGTATATTGAGGTTGATTGTGCATAGAGTTAGGTACAGGATTTGTTGAGCGATTTTGAACGTAGAGAGAAGGCGGAATGTTATATTGCTGAGAAGAGGAATTCGGTTGATATTGAACGGGTATAGAGCGTGATGAAAACGGCTGTTGGTATAAGGGCGCTGACTGTTTTGAAGGTGCCCGTCCATCTCCATAATTCATAACTTGAATGTTGAACTTGGCTTCATGTCTTGGCTGATATGTATTACTTATCGCTGACATTCTAAGCAAAACAGATCGTCTTTATAACCTTAGAACATTTTCCTGTAATGAAGCACTGTCATTCTATTAAATTGCTTAGATGCTTTTTTTCATGCATAATAATATAAAATGTAACTCCTGAACTCTTGTTGGAAAGGTAGCAGCCATATTACAAATGGATACTATTAATACTTTTTTATGCTGACAATATCGGTTCCTAGCTCTAGGGTAAACAGAGAATTTCTTTTTGCGTCTTTCGGTAATCTGAGTGAACAAAAAGTGGAACAGATGGTCAACAGACGCACTACAAATCCAACTTCTTTTAGAAAATATTTAGGCAAAAATATGATGATTTTCATCTTTCAAATGTATTGAATTCTGATAAAGCTTAGTATTAGCTGATTATCCTATGTGTGTATGTGAAAGGTCTATATTACTAATAAACTGCAGAACAAAATCATTTTTCTTGCTTATTTAAACATACCTTGCATAACCGAGTAATAAATCTGAATAATCGTATGTTGCTAAGTGTATGTGTGTAAAACAAAAACGATCCTTGAACTAAATAAATAAATGTACAACCTCTTCTTGATACACAGACTATGGTATTAGTGTATACACAAACAGAAGTTATTTACGTGCCAACCTGTTTTCCTATATAACAGGAACATTTTCTCTTTCTTGTAGCCGAAAAAGGAAAATGTATATATGTACGCGAAAAACTACACAAAAAGAGGAAAGAAACATAGATGTTTGCTAAATTAGCCAGAAGAAAGCGATGAAAATTCTAACAGTTGGTTGTAAATACAGTTAGACGATTATTAGACTTCTGTTAAATAACGCACACGGAGGCCAATGCCTATCTAGTCAATAGACATATATAATATCATACAAAACAGTTCGTTCCTCGTTTCTCTGCTAAAACGTGTCTATGTGACACGAGTATACATAAGTATACCATATTGATAACACTAAACAGAAATTTTGATAATTGCTGTTTTTCATCATCCCTATTAGATTAGAAGAAGAAATCGATAGTTGTATGAATACTAGCACTTTTCATCAAGACTAGAGATTTCACTGAATTAATAGCACCATTTAGACATAAGGACCCAGTTGTATTCTGTACACCTTATACCAGATAAGCAGATGCTCTTTTAAAGTCCCACCTGCCATTCCAGGGAAGTCTGACAATTTGAAAGCTCAGATTTTCACTACATATCGATCATCATTATATAAACTTATTTAGCAAATTCCGACGCGTTAGATCAAGCTCTCTCTGTTTTCTATAGATCTTAAGCTAAAATATAGTCCGCAACCTGTGATCTTACGTCTACTTCGAAATTCCATCTGACTGAGCAGCAAGAAGTATGGTATGAAATGATTTTTTGTTTTATTTATACGAACTCATCCGGAAAGTGTTTGCATTATGGCATTCGAAGAAATAACGTCGTCAAAAGTAGACTAGCACTTTTGCAAAGTCTTTCTGGATTACCATACTCCAAAAAGATTGTCTAATTGTTTTACCAACATAAATATCGCAACAATCAGTGCAACTGACTCCATCGACTAAATTAGATTGTAACAGTTTGGAAATTTTTAATAATTGTGAATAACCATTGAGTTTAGTTATTCGTCGTAGTTACATTATATATATATACCTCTTATTTACTTCAAAAGTGTGCGCCGCTCGGAAAATCAGTGGTGGCGTGTAACAAAACTTTTCCGATCGGTAGCGGCGACGGAGTCCACGCAAAAGATTTTGCGTCTTCAGCGGTGGCAGCTAAAAAAATTATTCAATCAGCGGCGGCTAAAAGATTTTTTTAAATTTAAATTAAGTTAAGACTAATTAGAATTCTCATCTTATATAGATAATGCCTATATAGATATAGATGGCAGAGACGTATTGAACCAGTGATTTTTCCCATTTAGCAATAAGTCATATTCACAAGCTGAAGTGAGACCTATTTTTGACTGTCAAAACGCTTATAAACTGGCCGTATAGAACTAATGTATACGATGGTGGATATGCACTCGTATATGACGGTTAGACATAGCTTCCTCTTCATGTTGTAATGTGGCTAATTACAATATAACTCCCTGTTTTTCTAATCTCTCATGATTTTTTTATTCTAAAACTGTTTCTGTTAGCGGAGGATAAAACAAGTTTGTATTTTTAGCATGGCGCCAAGAATAATAATTATCCATCCGCGGCGCACAGGTCTATTCAACAGTCATACTTTCGTTTTAACGGACTATAGACGTTAGTACACTTTTATTTTTTTCATTTCTTGAAAATGAACTTTGTATCGTTCGAAACGTCGTATATCAATTAAATAAAATTAAATAGTGAAAGTTAATAGCGCTGTTGTTACTGTGCTTTTCATCCTGAAATTATTACACATTAATCGTTCTTCAATATCGATCGAACGTGCTCTTCTAAGTTCACGAGTGAAGCTTTTCAGGTACCCAAATATAGGATCTAAATACGAGCAGGTATAACCATCAGATTTGTGGTCAAGACCATCGACTACCTCTAATCATGTATGTTTCAAGCAAAAAATGGTGGGACACTTGGGACGCTTTCCTCATCAACGAAATTCTTTCTTGCATAAGTCTTCTATAATATTGAAAATTTGCTTCGATATGAACAATCCTGAAATCTGAATAAATCAACATGTTTCACTTGAAACTTTTAAAATATGTTACTTGTCACAAAACTTTATCTTTGTTTTTCCTCAATAGTAAATCTAACAAAAGAAAATGGTCACTATCACAAAATAGAAAGGAAAACAGGCATGAACCTAGACTTTTGAATTTAACGTCGTACTAAAATACAAATAATAATAGAAAAATAGTGAAATATATAAATACAAAATAAAGTTTAACAACAATATAGATACAAAAAATAGATACATCTCACTCATCCCTATCCCTATCATAATAAGAAACAAAATCAAAAAAGAAAACTAATACACAAACAAAATAATGGCAAATGAACTGCAAAAGAAAAACTTAAAAGGTCAATATTATAAGCAAAATGAAGAACTGAAGAAAAGGATATATAACTAACTAAACAATATAATAAAGATAACCAAAAAACTGAATACTGTTTTGTTACTTTTTCTTAATATCATTATTTTTTGAATTGCAAAACATCTTCAAAAGCTCTTGACGTCTATGTGAATGATATTTTTCAAATTTAAGTATTTGATAATCTTCATGTTCATCATAAAGTTCTAAATACATTTCTTCTTCTCTTCTAAATTTACCTTCATGTAATTTTAACATCGATATATATAACCGTTCAGTATCTGTTGCTAAACGAATACGATCTGTATCATCAACGTTATTCTCCAATGTTGGTATCCATGTTGTTTTTTTACGATTTCTTGTTGTTGAAAGACATGGCATAAAATATGTATTATCTGTTGAACATCGAATAATACCACCATCATATTGACTCATAAGAAATATGCGACCTTAAAATAGTGAAAAACAATTTTAGAATAAGTAGATTATAGATTTACAGCCTTATTAAAGTCATAAGAATGAGATTTTAAAATCATGGTATAAAACTGGCGATTTTAAGTTGATCGATAGTTGAGAATGCAGCTGAAACTCGCTGAGCTTCGTTTTTAAATGATTAATATAATTCTACTTTTTTCTTATCAGTTTAAGAATACACAACCCTTTGTTCCAGGAGCGGATAAATACAAAGTAACCCCTAACTTAATAATGGTTCGTTAAAACATTTTAAATTGTCATATTCGCACGATAGAATATATTTTCTCTAAAATAGTCAACAAGTTCTTTTCAAAATAAAATAGCCTATTACCTAATTCATCTAAATACGCTTCTTCTATTTCATTTATTTTTGATGTGTCAAATATTTGAACAAAATAATATTGTGGAATTATCAATAATAGATGATATAAACTAATGAATTTATACTTGTCATTAACATCGTCATCGTATTTGAATTTTTCACGACGAATTGAATAATATGGAAATATTTTTTTATCAAGATTTGTACATGAAATATTTTTATCCGATTGTTCGATAATCATTTTGTAATGAATAAATTCTATTGAATCAGAACTGAATGTTTTCAAAAATGGTTCAAATAATTCAAGAATATTTTTGAATGTTTTCTTTAAATCGTTGTAATTCACGTAAAACTGACCATCTTGATGACATTCGATATAAGGATAAATACAAGCGTGTAGTTGAAGAAAACCACCGACGTTATCAACAATTGAGATATCAAGCTAAAATAAATGAAAAAAATTGAAACAACACTATTCTCTTAAATTATCATACGAAAGAGAAAAAAATTGATAAAATAGAAAGACTGTTCTTCACAGTCAGTAATGCAAACGAAACTTACTCGTTCTTCGAAATAAGAGCGTTTTTCTGCTCGATTCATTATATTTGGTATACATGCTGACCCATTGTGAGTGCTGTCTCTTCTACAATATGAGAGAAATACTATTATTTCACAACAAGAATGACGTAAATCATACCTTGAATTTTGTTCCATATCAAGTACATCTCTTTCTCGACGTAGCCAACTTTCTTCACAAGTTATCGATGCTATTCTCATTGCTTCTTGCATATCATTACTTTTACATGGATTTTTTCGATAATATAAAAAAATATCAATAACAGCCAGTAAATAATCCAAAATGGCACAACTTATTAGTTGTTTTGGTTCATCTATTGAGCACATACTATTATTATTCATATCCAAATTTTGGCACAATGTCATGTAATAATTCTCTTCATTTTGTGTCATATTAACTGTAGGTAAATTACGAACTTCCCAATATTTATTGTATCGCGTTATTCTAATAACATTGACAGCATATGAATGCCATGCATAAGCAACATAATTACCATTCCACAATCTAAACATCGACACATCATATTTAACGTACCACCCTATCTCCTTCAACGTATTACCTGTATATTATAGGCAGTGGTTGACCATCGATTTGCATATTTCCATAGTGTTTTCGCAGTGTTGGAAGATCAATCGGTTGTTGCTGCTGATGAAAACGTTTGTCTTCGCTCATTTCCATGTCGAGAAGATCATCCACACTAGTACTCGATAAAACACTATCTTCTCTGACTGGAAATATACCTTCATCTTCAATTATGTAATCAACAGCGTCGTAAAACTCAACCATTTAAGAATGCAAACACCAGTCTCTGAAACAGAGTTAACGAGAAGGGTTAAGTAGATGTATTACCTCCAAATAAACAGCTTCTGTTCGCGCGTATATCTGACGTTGTACAGAACAGATAAGAGTCGTTTCAGAGAAGTCGCAGCGAAGAAACTGTCATCGAAGAGACACGTATTAGTCGTAAAAAGGTCTCTAGACAGCTTTTCATTGTTAGTTGTTAAAAGATATTTCAAAAAATAAAACTTTGTTACTCATCTTGCGTTATCTAACCTCCAACAGTTGAGAAGTGTCAGAAGCAAAAAATAAGAGTAACGGCTCCACAGTCAACGCAATTTTTAAACTTCTTACGTTTCTCCACGTTTTTACAGTACACGCATCTTAAGCATTTGATGACATATTTGAAAGTTTCCTTAAACTATGCAAATAAACCCGCTTGAGATGTACAAAGTAAATCCGAAGACAGAATCATTATAATCACCGTAAGAAATTAAAAAATTGCATTAAGCATCTTGTGCCCAAGTTTTGTTTTGATCGTATCTCAATGCATAGATATGTATACATATATATATATCCTTTTGCGTCCAGATTTGAAAAAAGGCTAAAAGTAAACTCATTTTTATTTTTTTTCCAGGTCCACCACCTCCAACAAGCATTTGAGCACGAATCATTATCATTGGTTAATTTCGGTTACGCATCCAGACCACTATTCCTCTTTAACTTAGCTGCCAAAACAGATCAAGAGCGCGTTGTTGTTTCGCTTAGCTATTGATGTAACAGTCTTTATATTCAGTAAAAGACTTGTTAATGTATATTGAAGAAACGTCTTCTTAGTGGCCGTTGCTAGGTTACACCACTATATGTAAAAGATATTCATGAAACGGTTTGTGCGCGAAATTTTTCTGAGAGTTGAAGAACTTTCATTATGGGTGCGATCAAGTACGAGGAGAGCGGTTTAGGATTCTAAATGTTATGAAATTTCATTTGAGCGTACAGTTTGCACATTTAGCAAAACAGCCTAACTAGCGAAATTTTTTGGGGAATTTTCTCAAAAAAAATTGATTGATCAATCCTTCATGATAATATACAATAGAGATATGCGTCCAAAACCATTAAAATAGACTACAGTTGAGTAACTGTATATCTCCAAATCTCAAACAGGCTAAATCAAGATCAGCAGCTATCTTTTTGCGAGACAAAACTTGAAACTGCCCTCCGAAATTACCTGAAGGCAAAAAAAGTGTATGTAGCCAGTGTTTCTAATGATTAGTGGTCCCCGTGAGAGCAAAGTGGTCTTCCACTTTGTAAAAATGAAATCCACTCTGTTTTCCACTTTGAAAGTAAAAAAAACCACGTTGCGAACCACTTTGCTTTCTAAAATTTCCACTTTGTTTTCTTCTCTAGTTTTGCCATCATGATTGATCTTATTAATTACCACGTTTGTGTACGCTCTGCTGAAAATTCTCATTAGAAACACTGGAAAGGTCCATGTTTTAGAACCCAAGCAGAAAACAGTTTTATAAACGCTGCTTGCTGATACTTTATTCGAGACCACTTTGCAGTTTAGCACAAAGTGGTTAGTGCCACTTTAGGCTTCAGAGCAAAGTGGTTCAATCCATTTTGATTACAATTCTCATTAGAAACACTGTATGTAGCAGGGCTAGGCGAGTTCGGAGAAGTACTGAGACCGAGTGCGAGTCCAAGTCATTAAGCTAACAAAGCAAGTCCATTTCGAGCCCGATAATTTTTTCAGCTCTTTTTGACTGTCGGTATTTATATTTCTTTTCAAGTACAACACATCAATCTTATTATAACAGAAAAAATTATATAAGTAAACATCTATTGCATATCCCATACTGGTATTGAAAAACTGAACATTTTTTGCTGATTTATGTATGAATTCGAATCGACCGGGCTTGAAACTCAAAAACTCAAATTCGAGTCCGAGCCTTTCGAAAGAGTCTCCAGTCCGAGTCCAAGTTGGAGTCCATCGAAAAACCGTCATGTCCGGACTCGGACTCGCCCAGCGCTGGTATGTGGTGTGTAATGTACTTTTAAAGAGTCAACAGAAATAGTCTGAAGTTCAAAAATTTCCGCCGCAAAGATGACGAGAGCTTCTTTGAAAAAGAAAACGACCCAACTAACATCAATACATGATTATCATCTAAATCTCAGATTTATAATACGCTTGAGAAAGAAAATTATGCAACATTTGCCGCTTGTATTCAGATGTTTAACTATGGTGTTTACGATGTTACCATTTTACACACTGACATCAACGTGGTTTATGTCAGGTTTGCCAAACGTCGAAAATTTAGAAATTGTTATTGATCCTGCAACAAGCACTGGTAAAACAACAATAAAAATGGGTCAGTTGTTCGAAAATAGCTGAAATAATAGTCTTTGCGCTCAAAAACATTAGATTTAATCAAGAAAAATTGTAGAGATGCATCCAACTATTAGAGTGAGCAAGGTCAGACCTATGTTCAAACCATATCCAAAAACGAATCATGTAACAACTCTTTGCCGATCCCGATGTCGGGCCGACCAATTTCAAATAACGCAATTAGAGACCTGCAAACCGACGTGACCCTAGGGGCGGGGCAGATTCGGGCTGAACATTTTGCGGCGCAATTTAAAATACAGATAATAATTTCAATTTTGTATTACTCGTGGAAAAGTTAACGCTACTGGAATTTTCAGTTAAAATAGTTCAGAACAACTGTATTCACTAACGAGGCACGGTCTTCAGATGCTTAACTCCGTTTTTAATGATATTATGTCAGTTAATAGAGGAAAGTGAGCTGATAAAAACTCTTAACCCTCATCCGCCCACCTGGGGTCCAGCTGGATCCCAACGAGTTTCAAATTAATGTTATATGCACATAATATTAGATCGAATCATGCCCTTCATGATATGCCTTAGTGAAGAGTAGTAGAGTAAGCTGATAACATCAGTTGCTCATTGCCATTCGTTGTC